CCCAGAAAGCCAACACTAAAAGATATTTCTAGCCCTACATGGTAAGATATGTAGAAGAACACATAAGAAGATGTTATAGTGTCAACGACATGGGCACGAGTTACACCAACCTCCAGAAGAGTTGAATGCCATTGCCAGTCCTTGGCCCTTCGCCCAATGGGGGATGGACATGGTAGGGCCATTATCCACAACTACATCTAGAATAAATTACGTCCTTTTAATAATAGATTATTTCACAAAGTGGGTGGAAGCAAAGCCCTACCCATGAATAACACATGCACAAGTGAAGAATTTCTTTTGCAGCACCATTATATACAAGTTCGGACTCCCAAAAGCCTTTATCATAGACAATGGAAAGAATCTCGACCACAATCACACAAAAATTACTTTCAAGATCATGGTATCGGTTAGAAGTTAGCCTCCAAAAAATATCCTCAGGGCAATGGCAAGCTGAGATTACTAACAAAACTATCTTCAATTGCATCAAGAAAAAGTTGGAGGATAAAGAAGGGTAAGTGGCTTGCTGAGCTCCCAAATGTATTATGGGCTTATCGAATGACACTAAGGAAGCCAACGGGAGAAAGCCCTTTCGTGATGACATATGGAACAGAAGTTGTAATCCCAACAGAGTAAACCATCACAACTGTCAAAAACAAAGGTCCTCGTTTATTAAGGAGAAAACGATTGACAATTGAACAGAACTTAGATCTTTTAGAAAAATAAAAATAAAAATAAAAATATGGATGCTGCCCAGGTCAGACTCGCTTCATACCACCAAAAGTTGATGAGAAACTCCAACAAAAGACTAAAACACGAATCATTCAACCTGGGAAATTGGGTCCTAAGGAAAGTCACACAGAACACCAATAAAGAATGGAATTCTGGCAAATTAGGGGCAAATTGGGAAGGGGCCTACAAATTGACCGAAGTGATCGAACGAGGTGCATCCAGGCTTGGAAGAGTAAAGGATGGCAAAATAGTCCAGAAGCCTTGGAATCCAACCCCCCTCAACAAATATTACATGTAAATCTGTTGAATGTTCAAATGAAGTGTTATGGATAAAATTGACTCCTTTCCAGCGGGATTTTACAATACCTTGTAAAGAAACATATAAACAAACACTTTCTCAAGTCCAAGTAGCAAGTGGCACTGAGAGCCAATTGTCAAGACTTAGACAAATTTACAAGTCCATGTGGCAAGTGGAGAGTTACAAGTTCAAGTGGCAAGTGGCACTAAGCACGTCGCCAAAACATAGCCAAAAATGGATTTTTATAATGTTGTACATGTTGTTCGCCGACAACCTCTGAGGGTTTTCCTATAGTGCCAAGCGGAAAGATAGAAACCCAGTTTTTTACAAAAAAAATATATATAAATAAATAAATAAATAAAAAACACAACCCCAAGGCTGAGCATTTGGGAAGGTAATATAGAGCGTTGCACAAGGAAGGAATGCTTCTTATCCCAAGCCAACAAGCAGGCTTACGAAAGGACAGTCTACCTGTTTGGTTATCAACATAAAATTTAAACATCTCCTCCCCATTTCCATGGGGCCTCTATAAATATGAAGTGTTCTAGAGTGGTAAAGGGCCTGACCAACACAACAAACACTATCATAGATCTTTCTAACCCAGTGTAGCTCTTAGTTAGCTTAGTGTCACGGGCCTAGAGATTTGGCGCAGCGGCACGGCCCGTGCGGCACCAAGGCGTTGCTTCAGCTCGCGCAAGCGCCCTGGTCAGCCACCACGACCTGCCCTCCCAAGGATGCATGCTGACTGGTTTCGGCCTGCCATGGCCTCGTCAGGGGAACGGCTCCAGCTCCCGACCAGTTTGTGCAGGGATGGCCAACTCCCTTCTTCATAGTCAAGTCCACGACCAGCGACAAGCACCTCGAACTGAACCGAGTCGACCTGCCTGAACTCTGAAGAGGTACCATCCTGTGCTCCTGCACGCCCCTTCCCTGGAACCATTCCCAGTCAAACTCTGCTCTTTGCCAACCAGCATGCGTGTCTTCCATCCTCCAAGCGTCTTAGGAATCACTTCGTGACATTCTCCCCCACCCAAATCCTGCGACGTCCTCGTCGCAGTGCGGCGCTTCACTACTGCGTCCACTCCCTTCCAAAGTCTGCCTCCATGCGGTATGCTCGCCTTCCCACCATCACTTCCTTGTGCAGCTCCCTGCACTGCACTCGCCCAATGATAGGCCTCGGACCAAGGGGACGTCCACTCCTCAAGGACGTGACTCTTCTCCGTCATGCCGCCTCCGCGACATCCCGAGCAAGCAATGGCCTTCTGCCGACTTGATGCTCGCCCTTCACCATGGTTTGCATCACCCAAGGACTAAGCACGAACTTTGGTGCGCGCGGCCCTCCGGCCCTTCAATGCGCAACTTCAACGGACGCCTCTTCCTGGGGAGATGAAGGCTCTCCTCCCCAACTGTATTGATTCCTCCACATCGACGCAACTTCAATGCACCGTCTTCATTCTCTGACCCCTCCCGGACCAACAAGGGGGCACCCCACCGTGCTTTACCCCAAGTCCTGCTCTGATACCATTTGTCACGGGCCTAGAGATTTGGCGCAGCGGCACGGCCCGTGCGGCACCAAGGCGTTGCTTCAGCTCGCGCAAGCGCCCTGGTCAGCCACCACGACCTGCCCTCCCAAGGATACATGCTGACTGGTTTCGGCCTGCCATGGCCTCGTCAGGGGAACGGCTTCAGCTCCCGACCAGTTTGTGCAGGGATGGCCAACTCCCTTCTTCATAGTCAAGTCCACGACTAGCGACAAGCACCTCGAACTGAACCGAGTCGACCTGCCTGAACTCTGAAGAGGTACCATCCTGTGCTCCTGCACGCCCCTTCCCTGGAACCATTCCCAGTCAAACTCTGCTCTTTGCCAACCAGCATGCGTGTCTTCCATCCTCCAAGCGTCTTAGGAATCACTTCGTGACATTCTCCCCCACCCAAATCCTGCGACGTCCTCGTCGCAGTGCGGCGCTTCACTACTGCGTCCACTCCCTTCCAAAGTCTGCCTCCATGCGGTATGCTCGCCTTCCCACCATCGCTTCCTTGTGCAGCTCCCTGCACTGCACTCGCCCAATGATAGGCCTCGGACCAAGGGGACGTCCACTCCTCAAGGACGTGACTCTTCTCCGTCATGCCGCCTCCGCGACATCCCGAGCAAGCAATGGCCTTCTGCCGACTTGATGCTCGCCCTTCACCATGGTTTGCATCACCCAAGGACTAAGCACGAACTTTGGTGCGCGCGGCCCTCCGGCCCTTCAATGCGCAACTTCAACGGACGCCTCTTCCTGGGGAGATGGAGGCTCTCCCCCCCAACTGCATTGATTCCTCCACATCGACGCAACTTCAATGCACCGTCTTCATTCTCTGACCCCTCCCGGACCAACAAGGGGGCACCCCACCGTGCTTTACCCCAAGTCCTGCTCTAATACCATTTGTCACGGGCCTAGAGATTTGGCGCAGCGGCACGGCCCGTGCGGCACCAAGGCGTTGCTTCAGCTCGCGCAAGCGCCCTGGTCAGCCACCACGACCTGCCCTCCCAAGGATGCATGCTGACTGGTTTCGGCCTGCCATGGCCTCGTCAGGGGAACGGCTCCAGCTCCCGACCAGTTTGTGCAGGGATGGCCAACTCCCTTCTTCATAGTCAAGTCCACGACCAGCGACAAGCACCTCGAACTGAACCGAGTCGACCTGCCTGAACTCTGAAGAGGTACCATCCTGTGCTCCTGCACACCCCTTCCCTGGAACCATTCCCAGTCAAACTCTGCTCTTTGCCAACCAGCATACGTGTCTTCCATCCTCCAAGCGTCTTAGGAATCACTTCGTGACATTAGGGTGTACCATAGCTAATCTTAATCCATAGTTATTAGCATGTTACCAACCTCTCTGATTCTTCTTCATTGAAGTCTCAAGGTTCTATCCTTTGCAATCATTCGCCAATTCCTTGTGTTTGGCTGCTTTGTATTTTGTCACCAATACTACCTGAAGCTTAATTCATTGAGTCTCAATTGCATTCGCAGATGCGCCTAACTGGCTTTGAAGTCCTCGAATCTAAAAAATATTGTTCCCTAATCATCAACTTGCCTCACTTTGGCCGTTTGGTATATAATTTGGTATCACACTAGAACCTCTAGTGAATCCTGGTACGCCCGCAACCCATCAAGGCCTGGACCAGGACATTGCTCTTGGCTAGGCCCTTTACCACAAAAAAGCTTAGCTCTATTACCAATTAAAATATTTCTTGATTTCTTCTCCTAGTCCCAATTTCTGTCCTTTCAGCAAAAGAGAGGTGACCAAAAGAACAAAGAGTCGAAGACAACACATATACACAAACACAGAAGAAAGAACTTTGTTCTTGGAAATGACCAAAAGTTTGTCTTTACAGGTGAGACAAAGATGCTCCTTAAGGATGGGCTCAGATAAGTAGAATGCCTGTATCATTAACAGTAAACTACGACTTTAAAAAATAAATATAAATATAAAATATAAAATGTAATGGAATAACCTCCCTCTTGAAATAATACAAAAAGAGCTCTCTAAGAGTAGGAAAAGTGGACTTGTGCTCTTTTTGGCCTTTTGAGCTTTCATGAATTCAAAAACTCAAATTGACTTTGCCTGTATGTGTTTGGATAACTCGATCATAGTTTTGCATTATGCTACATGCAACTCATAAACACTTTTGACTGCAATGAAGGTCTCTGAATTTACCACATGCAACTCATAAAGAGTCTCTAAATTTTGATACGATGGCTTCTGACATTTTGTTTGAATCAAACCTAACAAACAACAAACAACAAACATCCAAGTCAAGACATTCGAAAGTTGATAAACATAACCCGCCATAAAAATTGTATTTCAGCAACGAAAAAAGCCGAACCCATATAAACTCCTGTAATAATTGAGTTCACATAAGCCTCCAAGTATTGATCAAAAGATATTCTGTTCAACTCCATGGGGTGCTAAGCTTCCACAGTGGACTTAGTTGAACCCAAACCAAAAACTTGTAAATTTCTTTCATTCAGTTGGAACCCTTGGAGAAGACTCCTCTTAACATTGTCAAAAGAGCTGCAATACACGAGCTTTTCCCCCTCTTTTTAACATTTCAGTGACATTTTAGATTTTTCTTCAAATTAATTCATCACAAATGTTTTAATTTATTAGCATGGCATAACCCCTTCACAATTTTACAGTCGCCCAAGTAATAACAAATACAAGCTTTGATGACAAAGCCACCATAACAGAAAACCAAATGTGCTTGTTTATAAAACAGATTGAGAAGCAAGTTCGGTATCGACACAGAAATGAATATTTAGCTAGGTTTCCTGGCAGAGATCATCACAAATCTCCTATTTCTCACACATGTGAAACCCACAAGCCCACAGGCTCTGCAGAGTTCTTCGAGTTCACCATCAGCTAAGAAGATGTGGTTGCCTGCAATTTGCCCTATATTCTACAATGAGAGACAAATCACCAGTCATCAGTCAAAGATTAAAGCCAACACAAGTCTGGATCTGTAAGAGCAAAGATCGCTACAAAAAACTAAACAAAATTGTGTAAATTTCTACTGAGAATAGTAGTAAGAATTTGCTCATTCTCGTACAGGGCAAAAATGGAATAGACGGGTACAACACCAGGAGCATATGATGGGTCTTGATAGTAGATTCAAGCCCCCGTGACAAAAATGTTTGACAAATTAAAATCTGAAAATCAATCTCTTCTTTCTTTCTTTCTTTTTCTTGTCAATTTTTTTTTTTTTTTTTACTACTCCACCTCCTAGTTTTCCAACTCCATCCATCTTAAATGGAATAAACAAATTCCAAGTTAAAAAACCTACCCCGCGCAGAGGCCTCAATAAGGGGAGCAGTCCAAAAGGACCATCCAGTATGAAGGTAGTAGCAACAAACACTCCTCCAGGTCGAAGAACTCGACTAATTTCAGCTACCTGCAAAATCTTATCTATTTAATGAAAGAGCAAATATGCTAAACAAAGATAATCCAATTAGATTAGAGTTATAAACACTTCAATAATGTAAAACATGACAAGACAACAGCAGAAAGTTCATCGAAATTTGCAAAATTTCTAATTATTTTTTTTTTTGATAAGTAACAAAATTTCTAATTTAGACTCATATAGTGGAAAATTAATAAAGAAAGCAATATTGATGGAGATCATATATGGACCCACCTGCCACATAGGCGAAGGAGAAAGAGGAAATTTAAAAAATAAAATAAAATCAGGCCTAAATTCTTCTACTTTTCCTCTATTCTTCTTTTGTCTCTAATCTTTTCTCTTCTCTTCCATCCTACATTGATTTGGTATCGAAGCCTTTTTTTCTTAGTTGGTACTCACACACACGCCTCCATGGAGATTTGAACCCCTGACCTCCCTTTGGGAAGTTGGGGCCTGGTACCGCTAGGCACTGGTTTGTTGGTGGTATCAGAGCCCTTTGCATTCATATCACATAACAATAGGTTCTTAAAAAACTTAGATGCTAGTCACGTCACTAAATCCCTTATGGATCAAAAGATGCAAGTTGAAAATCATAGCATGTGTAAAAATACGATAAATGCATATTATTCTAATTTTGGCGAGTGCATAATTTGAGAGTTGAATTTACCTTTGTGCCTTTGCTTGAAGTTTTGAATCCCCAATTTTCCCTCAGACAAAGGTAATTCAACTAACTACCTAACTTTTGAATCCATGATCAAAAGCTAATATAAAGCATATTTTTATATGAAATTAGCCAACATTAGTCATATTAACCCAACACCATTTATCAGACTGTATTTCCTTCATTTTTCACTAAAAACATGTGCAATAATTTTCGTACAGTTTAGTACTAAAGGAGCAATGAAACTATGGTGCGGACGTCAATCAATATGGAAGATTTAATTCTAACAGACATTTTACAAATAAGTCAACCTAACCTGCATTTCATGCTAAAGCCCCAAAATTTGTTCAAAAATATATACAAAGAATCTAAATGTGAATGACGAAATGAAGCAACATAACCTACATTTTTCATTCTTAATGTTGGCTGCTAGTGGTCTTGTTAGGTTTTGGGTTTACTGGAAATGGGCTTTTTCCATTCCAGTTTTGTAATTTAGGGACTATGCCTCGTTCTGTTATACTTCATTTCTCGTTTTTATAAAATCATCCCATACAGGGGGAAAAAAAGAAAAAAGAAAAAAAAGAAAAGATATACAGCAAGTTTATACGAATTAGATGTTGTAAGGATTTAAATATTAAAGCTACACCCTCTCTAACAACTTAAGCTTTTAGAGTAGATAGTTGTTAACATGGTGTCACAGCAGGCAAGGTCATGTGTTCAAGCCTCATTGTCACCCAGATAATTAAAATTGAAACACATGTTGGACCAAAAGAAGGCCACACGTGAGGGGGCGTGTTGAAGGATTTAAATATTAAAGTTACACTCCCTCTAACAGCTTAAACTTTTAGAGTAGACGGTTGTTAACATTAGCATACCCACAACCAACAACAACAACCAAGCCTTTTGCCAATTACTTGAGGTCAGCTACATGAATACTATATATCCATTCCACTCTATTTAAGGCCATAGCCTCAGTCAATCAACATATCATATCTTATTTACTAATTCTACCCACATTAACTTTGGTCTTCCTCTTCCCCTAGTATTACCCTCAATGTGGCCTATGTCAGTTTTCCTAACCGGCACACATAAAATCTTCTTCGCACATGTCAAATCCATCTTAACTGATACAAGGGATAAAGCATAAAATGAACGGATACAAGGGATAAAGCATAAAATGAACGCAACGTTCGAGATATTGATCACATGCCACTTCAGTGCATGAGGCTCAGGCATGTCAGTCCTAGATGATTCGAACCTATAAGGCTGCACAATATAATGTTCTTCCCGAACCTCAAATTTTTTATGCAAGCCTCACACACTTTTGAATGTCATAGTATATGAAATGTCCAAGGCCAATATCATGAGAACAGTATTTCAGATAAAAATTAACTTCAAAATGCTTACAGCTGCTGATGGTGAAGGCCAACAGTGCAAAGCAGCACCGGCATGGACAGCATCTACGGAACTTGAAGCGAATGGTAGTCTAGAGATGTCTGCTCTAACCAAGCATAAGTTCCTAAAAAGGAAACAAATTTAATCAGCAATAAAATCTGAAACCATAGTCTGAAAGGTTCTTATTTTAGATTCATGAAAAGGGTATAATTAATAGCACTTATGTCTTATTTACAGACTAAATTCAAAATTAGAAAACAGATTCTCTACTCTCTTGGAAAGTTCTCCTCTTGCTCTATAAATTCATAGCACTGCTTCAGCATGGTCTCTGAGAAGTCCAAAGCAATGACGAGAGAAAATAATCCACTCTTGGCAAAAAGTCTAGAAAACAACCCACTACCACAGCTGGCATCAACAATGTTTCCACCTAAGACTGGCTTAATGAAATCTTTAATCATTTCAAACTGCAGTCAAACATTATTACATGGTTAGTGGCTCAACCTTTATGGAACAAAATTAAAGTACAGTGGCATGCATGACCATGAAAAATCCAGCAAATGTGTATAATTTAGATCACTTCTAATTCCATTAGTAGCAGATAAATATGATGATGATATACTCATTTATGGAGCATTTGGGCATCCGGTGAAAATTGAATAAGTTGAATAGCACATTGATTTTAAGACAATCCATCAACTTTTGGGAATAACCAAACAAGTCTATTTGTTTATCTTAACACCTCTAAGATAAGTCATCTTAGGAATCATCAAATGACTTTGTTGTTGGTGTAATATCCTGAACTTTTAATAAAGTTATTTAATTAAGATTACAGTTTGAGGGTTAAATTATAATCATATTTGGGAGATCTCAATTTAACATAGAAATTTGACTGGACCCAACGGGATGGCTCTATTAAGAAATAGAATAAATCCCATGGTGCATTTTGATGGTTTAGTAGACTAATTTTAATAAAACTGATTATCTATTATAGATATGAGGGTACAATATGTTGCGTTTTTGGGTTAAAATGTGATTGAAAAATAAGAGGGTGTAGAAGATAGAGAAAAGTTGAAATATAAAGAAACCAAAGAAATACATAATGGTAGCGAAATGTGTTGTGAGAAGTTGCGAGGTTTGACTAAAATAGAAAGAAAAAAAAAATGTTCAATAGGGTGAAACATGTGAGTCATTGAAATTAATGGACTTGGAATAAATAGAGAAAATGAGTTAATGGGGAAACAAAGGCAAATATAGGAAATCTATGTTTTGTTTTTTGGAAAAGAGAAAAAAAAAAAAAAAAAAAAAAACCATTTTTGCAAGAAAGGGGACACGTTTCCCCTTAGTGGAAGTCCCTTAACACTAGTAAACAAGTGTTATTGATACACAAAACTTGTCTTTTAAAGAAAAAAGCAATTTCCAAAGCTTCCTTTAGACGCTTCATGCTTTCTCATATAGCTTATGAAATAACTCAAATAAGAACAACAAGACGAAAGAGAAAGGCAGGTCTCGGCCCAAAGTGCAAATCCAAAAGGTAGGTTTCATACCCTATTTTTAAAATGTTGTTCTAAATTGTCAAAACTCATGATTTTTAGATGACTGATGCTTCACTTGTGAAAACATAAATTTTAGCTCCTAACTCTCTTCCTCAAAGAATGAAAATGGTTGAAAACCTTGTTAGACTTTGAGCCTTGTGGTGGAAATCTGAACTGAACACTGGTTTAGAAATTAAATTTACATTACTTGGATTTGTTATTTGCTATTAAAATTTTGAGATATTGAAGTACGCTGATTGATGAGAATGTGGGATTGTGTTTGACTTAATTTTGTTGAGTTTTAATATTTACAAACAGGCTGTGGGACTGTTTGACAGCAGAATTTCCTCTACTGTTTTGGCTATAATGGATCAGTTTTATGAAGTTTTTCTTGGAGATTAATTCCTGATATTACAGTATAATATGTTAGCTTTCATTTGGCTTTGCTTTCACCCTATTTGAGTTAGTGTTTTATTTTCTATGAATTTTTTAAGAAATGCTGTTTTTTGCTGAAAGTCGTGGGACAGCAATGCCTTTGAATGATTTTACCATAGATTTGTTGTTGGATTTTGAGGATGAAATCTTGAAATATGAAAATAGACTTATAAATGTTTCTCCATTATAGGGGAGAGCCGAAGCAAGATTGTTGATCGTTGATCAGTGGAGGGAGTTTCTCATGCCAGTACCAGGGAACATTAAAGCTCCATAGAATTTTACCTCACTATTTAATACAAAGGTTATGATTTATGGTGAATTTTCAAACGTAAGTTCTGGCGGTGGAAAAAGAATGGCTTGCTCATGGATATTGTGTATGCATCCCCACTTAGGTATTTGAGTATGTTTTCTCAACTGTGTATGTGTCCAACATGAAATAGGTAGGGTAAGAGTTTCATTTGGGTTGAAAGACCCTACACGGCCCGGATTTAATGAGTGAGTGTTCACAGTCCCTAGGTGCGAGCCCCTAAAGCCAAAGGACGGGGGTGGCGGTCCCGGGAGGAAGGTCCCTAAGGACACATAGGGTACATAGTGGGTGACTGGTTATTGTGACAGATTATTTGGAAAATTCATGTTTGCAACTATAGGCTTATTGAGATAGTTTTGGGATATTCTTCTAAATTTCCTATGTTAAAATGATTATTCTAATAATGTGTAATGGAATAATTTTATGACATATTGCGTACTTATAAAAGAAAATTTCACAAAATTATGTTAATCTTATATACAATGTTTACATAATAATCCTTGTCGTTTAATTCCATGATGGCCACTTCAATATTTCCACACTTTGAGGTGTTGCATTGTCAGAAGTTTAATGAAAAACACATTGTATTTTTCCAAAACCTTTTCAGGTACCAATTTGGGAGAGCAAATTCAGGAAGTTGAAGGTGAGATGGCTATAATAAGGTGTTTTGCGGTTTAGTTGGAAAATTTTATTTTGAGTTTGTCTGAGAACCTATACTATTTTTGATGTTTTTGATGGAGTTTGAAGTTAACTCACATGCAGCGGGGATCAGAGCATGACAGCTGGCTAAGTAGATAATAATGTAGATTCTACATGCAGGAATTTCACAAAAACAATATGGAAATTAGAATGGTTAATTAATTCTTATGGTATGGCAGAGACCCTCTGTTTATAATTATAGTCTATGCCACATCACTTCTAACTTCTAAGTACTATGCTGTGAATCATAAATGATACAGCAAGCCACAACTTATCCATAGTTTTTGTGCTTATCTTAATTGTTGGTTCAATTTATGCATAGCGAAAGGGGGCATTGGAATGGTCTTAGCTCCTGAATATTCAGACAATAAAAAGAAAAAAATTATGAAGCATGGCTAAGCAATCCTACTCACATTGGCCCTAGTGCCCAGGTGGTTTGGCCAATAGTGGGCCAAGAAATTTTGAATGGTGATGTGAATAAGCTATTGGAGACCATAACTATTAAATAATTTATAAGTGAAATATTTTGAAATAAATTGATAGAATATAGTATTACAAGATATTTTAATTTTTTTTACTATGCAATTTCCTTTCCAAAAAAATATAATATCATGCTCTATGTACATCATATATCCATATTTTTTTAGTCGCAACACGTCCTTTTTGTCAATATTATTCGCTTCTGAAAAAGCCTTCATGAAAACCATTTATCAATGAAAATGTGAGTAGGAATGTCATATCACCTCTCTCTCCAGGCCTGGAAAACCAGCCAATGTAGAAAAACTTTGTCGCCAGCCCCTCTCATAGAGAAATGATACCAAAGGAAGCCTGTTTGCAATAAATGATTGATGTCTATTATAAGAAAGACGAAAATCAAACTCATTGTGTAAATATTGGATAAATATTATTTAAGCATGACAGCACTTAAAGTGGTGAAAGTTATATAATGTTTATCATAGGTTGATGCTATATCTGAGGTGTGCTGTATGCAGCGGATTTCAGTTGAATTCTTTGTATGGAAATACAAACCCAGAGGTGCGGTAAATAGGTCTCATTTTCTCTTTAAATCAAACCAATTTAAGTGAATTTCAATGAATTTTAATCATACAAAGTTAGTAAAATAAAGTCTGAGCACAAAAACAACCAATTTTTCACATGGAATAGCCAAGCCTTGAAAATCCAGAGACCTCTGTCAGGTGAACAGCCTACGCCTGACCCTGAACAAAATTTGGTTGCTGCCAACACCTCAAAGTCACTGCCAAGCACTACTCAGTGCCTTCGAGCCCAGCTGCTGCACACTTCAACTGACTCTTGAATGCTTCAGGTAAAGCTGTGGTTAACTAATCAATGCAATCAACCTGTGATGCACTTTCACAATGGTTGCAGACAAGTCCTACAAACTATGATGAAGAATTGCTTAATGGACCACTGCTCTCTGAGGATTCTTTGATATTGAAAAAAAGAGGCAGTTTCTCAATGATACGAGTACCACCCACACAAAATCACTGAAGCGCATATAATCAATTTTTTGTATAGAAAAGGCAGAAAAACACAAGGTAGAGCATAGGAAATCTGAAAATGGTATAAGAAATTAGGCAACGCGCTATTCTTCTCCTCCTTACAGTTCTATATTTATAAGAGATGGTAGGTATACAAGTTGTGTGTTAGCATATTCCTACTCAAAACTTGTGTTGTAATCTGTCAAAGTGTCTTTAGTCAATCAAGAACATCTACATAAGAAAAGGCAGACACATAATTACAAAGAACACGGTGTGAAATTCACATTCTCAACCACATCTCAAGGACACAACCTACTTTGATCTTGGTGAGAATCATAAATTTATTTTTAAGTGTTTTTGAAAAATGGCATTCCAAAGGAGGAGTAGCCTAATGGTACTTCCCCGCCTTCCAAAGGAGAAGGTCAAGGGTTCAAGTCCCCATAGGAGAATTGTCGGTGTGCAAGTGTGTTTCTTGCCAACGGAAAAAGAAAAAAAGTTAAATCTTTTAAGCATTTTCTGAAACTATTTTTAAACTAGATGTTGTAAAGCATAAAACGGAAGTGACGAGAGAAATGAAACACGAAGAACACAAGAATATTACGTGGTTCAGCCACTATGGCCTACATCCACGGCAAAAAGAGCCCAAATGGCTACATCACTTTATAATAATTCTCTCTTAATCTTTGTATACAATAATCACCTCTATTTATAGGTGAAAGAATAGAGGTGATAAATATGGAAAATACATTAATGGAAGATTCCTAAAATCAATACCACAAATCACTCCAATCAATATTCTATCATAGGCTAAAATCTCTCCTATAATATTCTCATATCAAATATTCTGTCAAGGAGTAATTTAAGGGTTCCTATAATAATATTTTCCAAATATAACATCTTCTAACACTCCCCCTCAAGCTGAAGGGTGTGTGGAAATAACACTCAGGTTGCATATCAAATCATGAAACAGATCCTTTTCCAACAATTTGGAAAAGACAATAAAACTGCTAGAGACACGGTGAATGCGAAAAACAATACTACCGAACACACCGGTAGCCCAAATAAGTCCACATAGCACCGAACACATGGCGAAGGTTACGAACAATGCTACCGAACACACCGTCAGCCCAAACAAGTCAATAAAAACTGCCGGAGACACGGCAAAGGCGAGGACAATGCTACCAAACACACCAGTGGCCCAAACAAGTCAATAAAAACTGCCGAAGACACAACAAAGGCGCAGAACATTACTGCAGAACAAACCGGCAGCCCAAACAAGTCACAAATAGCACCGAGAAATCCTTAGCAACATTTCAGATGCTAAGGGAATACCCCAAAATAAGGGTCCGAACCTAGGAAGAGAAATTAGGCTCTAATACCATGTTGTAAAGCATAAAATGGAAGTGAAGAGAGAAATGAAACACAAAGAACACAAGGATATTACGTGGTTCAGCCACTAGGGCCTCCATCCACAGCACAGAGCCCAAAGGGCTGCATCACTTTATAATATATTCTCTCTTAATCTTTGTATACAATGATCACCTCTATTTATAGGTGAAAGAATAGAGGTGATAAATATGGAAAATGCATTAATGGAAGATTCCTAAAATCAATACCACCATAAATCACTCCAATCAATATTCTATCATAGGCTAAAATCTCTCTAATGATATTCTCATATCAAATATTATGTCAAGGAGTAATTTAAGGGTTCTAGAAGTGTACAATAATTAAATGGTCGATCAATTGAACACCTTCCACTAGCCATCGACTGGAGTTTCTGACTGAAAATTACTTTTGATACCAATATGCCTTGGCCAAAGGGTCGATCCATCAAGGAGTGTCTAGTAGGCTTCGAACAAAGGGTGTTGATCAATCGAACTTGATGGACATATATATTTGGTAACTCTCTCAAAAATACAATTTTACAAGGATTCAACTATCTAAAACGTATGGGCTACCTATACTGGCTATAAATATGGGATTATAGTCAGTCTTGCTATCAACTTGAAGTCTCTAATCATCTAGAGACAAAAAAATCCTTGAGAGAAAAAAAGGATGCCTAAGTTACTCAATTTAGGGTTTCCTTAACTATATGTATGTGATCGAGTGTTCATAAAAATGGAGTTGATTGATTTGAAGCAATTTAACCGAATAAATGTGAGAGCAAAGGTGAGCAATCAATGGAGAAGCAAATTTGGGAGGAGCAAAGTCCGTTGACAAGCAGATGGACGGCCTGGAGACTTTTGGTGGAAAGTTTGGCATCAATCTATGTCGAGGGGTATTGAGTCTCCTATACACCCTTGTTTCTTACGATTTGGGTTTTACATAGGAGATGTCTCAACCAGTGATTGTTAGGTAAATGAGTTTACCTACTAGTCTCCTATACACCTCTGGGTAATTGTGGATTTGCTACAGAAGTTTGGGTTAGTATTTTTTATTTGCTAAAGACAGAGTGGCCCAGATGTAAAACTTTGCTGCAAGTGGTGGACTAGTTTCTACAACATACTTCTCACAAGTCTATTAAAACTAATATTCTAAGTGGTATATTTTCAGTCTTAATTTGGACGTTATGGTCTACAAGGAATGCTACTCTTCACAATAGGATCAGAGATCAGAGCTCACATATTGTTCAGGCTATTGTATGGGATGTTCTTACATACCTACATATTAGTCTAGAAGATTTTATGACTATTTTTGGTGATTAATGTAAGATCCATTGGATATCTCTTGCATTTTCTGGAAGTGGAGTTTTCCATTCCTAAATGTAACTCTAGAGGAATGCTTCCTGTTGTAATTGTACTTTTTAATTTTGATTTATAAAACACCTTATTCAGGAAAAATAAAATAAAAAAAATCAAGTGGGTCACTGTTATCGACTTTAAGCTTCAAATTAGTTTGTTTGGGTGTAGCTACAGGTTTCAAACTAAGGTAACTTGTATCTTGCAAGATATCAATAATGTTTTCGCTGGGAAAGAATAATGCCTTGCTTCGATAGTGCAACCTCAATACCAGAAAATACTGAAGTTTTCCCAAATCCATAGTGTGGAAATTGGAAAGTAGATGTAACAACCCTCACCCTACCCGACATAATATTGTCCACTCACCCAGACCAGACTTCCCAGGAGATCACCCATTCTAGTACTACTCCAGTATAAGCACGCTTAAATGCGGAATTCTAATGGGTTTACAGCCATCACGGCTTAAAACGCGTTGTGTCATAGAAGGGCATTGCGCATTGAACCTATATATAACACTTCACCTTTACCTTCCCGAGGCGATCGACATCCGTAGCCTGCCAGTGTGGTAGCTCGCCCAATGTCTCGTACCCGCCCATAAAGGTTGTTACAATTACCACCCCTCCCCCCCCCCCCCCCCCCCCCAACCAAAACCAATGATACCACTTGTAACAGCCCTCACCGTAAGAGTTCTAATGGATTCACGGACATCATGGCTTTAAAATGTATTATGTCATAGAAGGGTGTTGAACCTACATATAACATTTCACCTTTACCTTCCCCAAACGATATGGGATCATGACACCTGCAGCTTACCAGTGTGGTAGCTTGCCCAGTGAATCTATCCTATTTTACTGCAATCTATATGTCCTACAATCTTATTCTAATTTACAATAGTCAAAAATCAATCAAATCCCTAAAATCAAGGGGAAAATATATATCTTCCAACACCCCCCCCCCCCCCCCCCCCCCCCCCTCCCCCTTAAGCTGGAGCATAGATGTCTTGAATGCCTAGCTTGTCAAGTGCCAATTTGAAAGTCGTACTTAACACTCCCTTTGTCAAAAAAATCTGCAAGCTGATGTTCTGTCTTCACATACGGGGTGCAAATTAATACACCAACCAACTTCTCCTTGATAAAGTGTATCCACTTCAACATGTTTAGTACGATCATACGGAACCGGATTGTGAGTAATGCTAATGGAAGCTTTGTTATCACATAATAGCTTCGTTGGATCCTTAAAACTAAAGCCCAACTCCTTTAACAAAGCTTTCAGCCACAACATCTCGCATATACCATGAGCCATGGCTCTAAATTATGCTTCAGCACTGGATCTGGCCACAACATATTGTTTCTTACTACACCACATGACTAGATTCCCTCCCACAAAGGTGCAGTATCCTGAAGTTGACCTTCTATCTATTACACATCCTGCCTAATCAACATCCGTATATCCTTCCACTTCGAGATGACCATTATTAGATAATAGCATACCTTTCCCAGGAGCTGGTTTTAAATACCTAAGAATCCTATGTACAGCCAACATGTGTGTTTCGCAAGGAGCATGCATGAACTGACTTACTACACTCACC